AGCACTCAAAGCACAATTCTGACTTTCTTCTGCTGCTTCCATAGGTAATCAACCTTTTATTGAGGAGCCTTCAGATTTACTGATTTTTAAATTTGAGCATTACCCTGCACCACGCATTGCCTGTTGGCTCAAACCCTCATTGGTTACACAGCTCCTCCTGATCCGATGGCCTTGGGGCAGCCAGAATATCTCTGATCTCTTCTGTTAAAACATAGCATTTGCTTTTGATCCAGCAGGTAAATCACTGCCATACCCCTCCGCTGACATCTTCCTTAATCAAGGTGATTTAACTGGATCACCACTAATCCAGGGACTGATATGACTGACCTGGGGTTTTCCATATGCAGTGTGAAATTTCAGTCAGTCTGTCGCAAGACTTCTCTCCAGGACTTAAACACCACTGCTCTGGGCAGCAGTGAAGCAAATATCTGCAACTGAGACTTAAGCTCTTGAATTCTGCATGGCAGTCAGAGCTGGAATGGAATCTTGATCACTTGTATGACAAGCTGCTGATTTTTAAAATAAATGGTACCAAGGGGAGAAAGAGCATTCCTTCCTTCTCTTCAATGACAGCGGGTGGGGACACAAGAAGTTCCACAGAGTTCAGGGGGCAAGACCCACAGAAATGCATCTTTTATCAGATTTAGAACTGCTATTCATCAATACACAATAAAATAAGAATACAGAATGCAAGGGGAGTAAATACTTAGAAGATACACAGAATCATATAATGGCTTGGACTGAAAAGGACCTCAAAGATCATCTAGTTTCAACCTCATGCCATGGGCAGGGTCACCAACCACTGGATCAGGCTGCCCACAGCCACATCCAGCCTGGAACATATATGTTCAAAATAAGTTTCTTGCATTATCAGTAGACTTACACTGTTTTTTCTTCTGTTTAATTTAACAGAAACTTACATTTAATTCTAAAAGAACACCTCCAATCCTCTTCCAAATCAGAAATACAATGTACATTAACTGGTGTGTAGTGCTTCCCTAAGCAAAAACAATGACTTGTTCTTTCTTAATGATCAGCAGGTACTACAAGGCAGCAATGGCATATTACTGATGCTACACATAAGAAAGGCACTATTTGTAAAGCATTTCAAAGGGAAAACAAAATCAAGAGAGAAAACAGACATATCTGACACCCCAGAATAATCTGTTGGGATAAGCCATCAAAGGAAAAGATCAGATACCAGAAGTCTTAAGCAGACTGCCAAATTTAAATACAAAAAATACTCCGAAGAATGACAGACACGGTGGAGAAATCTCCATATGAAGGTATTTCTGGATTCTAAGTGCTTTAATCCATTTCATACTCAAATATTTTGAAACAGTTCCTGTTTCTACTCTGCTTTTGATACCAAATTCAAGTGATACAAAAGGCAGGTGCTACTTTATCAGGATCTCATCCTTTTTAATGAAAAAGTGATTTGCTCAGGATGAAGCTATTACCTGAGGAAGCTCAATAAGAAACTGACACAAGCTTATTGTCACTTTGTAATTCCCTGCTTGATAAATAAGGTTATTATAGACAAGAATTTCTGTGCTATGCACTGCAAATTGTAAAAAGTACAGCAACCATATTATTTATACAGCCACAGACAGTCACAACCGAGACCAGGAGAAATAAGAACAGACACGGTAAGCAATGCTTAATATTTAATCCCTAAATTTATATTTAGACAAGTAATTAGACCTCCCAAAATACACGAGACACGTGTACTGCCTGTTGATCATTACTTAAAAAGATTACATCGATGCAAAAATTCAGTAAAATGATGAACCTAAGCTGTATTTGGCATCTGATACTTTCGGGGACTCTGTAATTAGATTACTAGTCCATATAGGGACAGGGGTTTTGATTTTAATGGAGATATATTGAATTATATTAACCTAATACACTGCTCATTGTCGCCTTTGGGTGCTAACAGCCATAAAGATGGTAATTCACCGGTTGAGTTGAAACAGTTTTGTGTTATAGTTAAGTCCTGCTTTTGTGATGCTACCAAAACGTGTAGGTATCTGGAATTTAGTTCTGTGGCCTGTGAGTTTTCCTTTAAGTATTCGGAGCACTGCAGAGGCATTATGATGAAGCTCGAGGAGGGAAGGCTAGACTGGATGTCAGGGGGAAGTTCCACAGAGAGAGTGGTGAGGTGCTGGAACAGCTGCCCAGAGAGGCTGTGATGCCCCGTCCATCCCTGGAGGTGTTCAAGGCCAGGTTGGATGGGGCCCTGGGCTGCTATGAAATGTGGAAGCTGGTGGCCCTGCGTGTGGCAGGGGGTTGGAGATTCATTGTCCTTGAGGTCCCTTCCAACCCCGGCCATTCTGTGATTCTGTGATGAAGATCATCAGAATGAAGCAATGTGCAGTCAAGAACCTAACTCCACAGTCTCACACTATAAGTAAGGTACGAATTAAAAATCAAAATTGGTTGGGAAACATGACCCTTAGTAAAATGCCACCTCAAACCCAGGTCTGTTGGCCATGGAAAAAGCTTCTTCTGGAGCTGGCCAGAAAGTTTCAATTTAGGGCAAACTTCTTTTTTTTTTTTTTTTTCCCCCAAATAAAATGAGTTACTTAGGGAACTGAATAAGAAGTCTCCTTTTGGAACTGTGGTCATTTGTCAGAGAAACACTGAAATGAAATGTCTTTTCAGAATGTCACAAAGTACAAAGCCAGGCCTTAGCAAAACCTACGTCTCAGGAAAGTCTGGAAGTCCTAGAGTCACCTCAGTGACTTTCAGGTCCTCCAATAAAGTCTGTGGAGAGCTTCAGCTTTATGAGCTGCCTGTCCCACAGCTCTGTGGTCTCTGGCAGTCTTCAGGCAGTATTGGGAACGCCCCACAGACGACATTCTGGACTCCTAGGCTCCAAAAGAGCTTGCACGATGAACAAGCAAGAAACTTCATGTTGTTTCACCAGGATTGTCTTCTTTTTTTGCAAAGCATGAAGCTTTTAACAAAACAGAGCTTTAATGATTTTTAAAAAAGATGTTCTGTTGGAAAGCTACCAGGCAGCTGTGCTTTCATGGTAAATCTCCTTACAAAAATTCTTTTCCCCCTTACCCTGTTTTTGCTATAGCTGTCAAAACGCATCCTTTATCAAACAGCCTCTCATAACCTGGATAGCATTTCATAAATCTGTGAAAGATGGTGATGATAGTGCATACACTTACTAAGGATCATACATTTAGTTCAACACATGAAAACTGTCATGCTTGGAAAGCGATAAATGTAAATAACATCATCAATTCTAACTTCCAACAGTGAAAAAAGTTTCCAAATTCCAGTTATAAGGCAGGCTCTGCAATTAGATGTTGGTTCCACATCATGCTGAAAAATATTTTTTAGCAATGCATTTGAAGGAGGTATTTTGACATCCTTTGACTGTCAGGTGAGATAAACTACAGCACTGTCTTGAGCCAAAACAAAAATATTCCCTCTGAAAGAGGAGCCTCAATTTTGCTACTGTGGAAATCAAAACCATACCTGAGAAGCAATGAGATGTGGCTGAAGAGATTAATAATGTGCTAATCATTCAATTAAGAAAATACAGACTTGTAGGAATGGCGCTGACATTTTAAATCAGCCAGTCCTGCACTAATTCAGCCACATGCAAAAAATATAAAACAAAAATGGGGGTGAGTGGCAGTGATAGCACACACAGTTAGAAGTGACTACTTCTGATATCAGCGGCACTTGTGATATCAACAGTTATGCACATTTCTCTCTCCTTTTCATGTAGGATGCTATACATCTTCCTGATTTTCAGGACACTAATTATCTAACATAACGCTTAAAACACTGCTGGCTGCAAAAAAGGTATGCTGCAGACAGGGGATTTCATACCATTATCTCCTCCCCGTCACATTATCTAAAATTTGTCTGCTATTACTAAAAATTGAATCAATGTAATTAAGTTTTAAGCCATCATCTTTTGATTTACATCTGTTTCAACTGCCAGTCTATCTGGCAAGATCTGCATTCCTTCCTATCACAGGCTGTGCTTGTCAAATCAACTCCAGCACTCTCTGCAACAGTTATCATCGGGGACTTAATGGACAATATCTCTGGATGAAAAATGAGCAGGGATTTTATTAACTTTACTTTCTCTTGAGTACTACCAATGCAAGGCTGACATGACAAAATGTCTTCTGCCTTCAAACCACCACCACATATGCATATACTAGCTATAAGCAGATAGCATCTATATGGTTTTCACTGAAATTTAAGTCAAAAGCTGCCATGTACTAGATTGACTCAGGCTTCAAATTGGATGTGGCAAAATCCAAAATGGATGAACGCGTTTTTATAGAAAACCTACAGGAGAAATTCACTCCAAAGAGAACAAAAGCCACGTATGCTTATCAAACCCTTCACTTTCCCCACACTGACAACCCTGGTACCATTAAGTTGATTTATCCTGGAAAGTAGATGTGTACAGATAACACAGATTTGACTTTCAAGATGCAAGACTGCCCTGTAGTTTAGGGGCCATTAACTAAACAAGTGATTAATTTGCCCACAAGTGTAAGAGTTAGAACAGATGCAGCTAAATTGACTGTGTTATTTCATAACTGCCATCTCCACGTTAGTATAAGCATGATTCTCAAGCAGAAGTTATGCACTCAATGTAAGAACTAATGGCTGAAGAGAGCTGTGTAATTCAGGAGTAAAACGTGATAAGCAAGATTTCTTTCTGGCTTAAAAATAGGCAGATCAAACTATAGCAAAATGCAGAAGATAAATATTCTAAATGCAAAAAACAATTATTTGCACATTTATATTGCATGTATGTGGAAAGAGAGTCTTTATTCACTTTGTAAAATAATTAACTTATAAGCCAACAACGACAACAACAACAAAATCTCCGGGATGGATTTAATAATAGGGAATATAAAGACATTTTGGACATTTCTTTAAATGTGCTGGTACTTTGTGCAGCCATTCCAGCCAGCTGGCACTACAGTGTAATTAATACAAAAGCAGCATACCTTCCGAAGAGGTTTGAGCTTGGTCTCCATTATGAAGTCGTACTTGCAGAGTTCACAGCAGCGCGTGTCTGAGCTCTTAATCCACTGGTGCAGGCAGGCCTGGTGCACAAAGCGCAAGGTCCCCGTGCAGCGGCACGGCGTGATGAGGGGACTTTCATCGTCTCCCTCACAGTGACAGATCCTGACAAGGAAGACAGCAAGAGCAAGTGAGGAAACTTTCCAATCAGCATAGCAAAGGCACTGGTTTACTCTCATTTTCAGACCTGACGTTTGTAAGACACGAGGTGGACGACCTTTCAGATTAAGGCCTGTGACCATACTCCTTGTTCCCTTCTGTCACTTCGCTTCATTTAGCTATTTCCCTTTGAATTGGCTACGTGAGCAGAAGGTGAATCAATAGGAAGAACACCGTCTTCCTGTTTATGCATAGCAAAGCCTTTAAGACAAGTATCTGTGCTCTTTCTTACAGTTAGAGTTGAGTAGCTCTTGGTCTGTAATTAATGAAAGAAAACACCCAAAGTCAGCGTAATCTAATGCCAAACTGACAATATCCAGTATGAAAAGTACAGTAAGTTCCTGGGATACATATTAGTAGTTACACAGTTAAAAGAATTAGAGAATCTGAGCTCTCTCTGGAGCAACGTGTACACACATCCATGTGTTTTCTAGGAGGCAGGTGTCAGAAAGCCATGATCCTTTCTCTTTTTCACTCTTCACCATCCCTTTGAAGTAGGTATCTTCATTATCTGGGAAAACAAAAACTGCAGCTGCAAGCAGACCCTAGGACAGACTGCGGTCTCAGAGGTGTCATGACCTTGTAATGGGATACAGAGCTTTCCACATGCAGTTTCACATGCAATAAGCGTCATCACATTACAATCTGATGTCTTTTTCCTGTGACTTATGCCCAAACGTCTGGATGATCTTCCTCTATTCCAAACAGACTTCTGATCACAGCAGAACAGTCACTCGTTGAAAACAACGTCAGCTTTATTTGTAAGCATCCCTGTTAGGGCAGAGCAAGCTCTGCAGTAAGCATGAGGGCTAATCAAGCATCTGAAGGGAAGGAGGGTCTACCTCAGGAAGAGTAACTCCCATCTACATCTCAGATAAAACACAACCAAACACTCAAGGCTAAATGAATGTCTGAAGAGACAGACTGGCACGGAAAGGGGGATGGGGGGGGAAGTCTGAAAACTGTTACTTCAGAATAGGGAAGTAAAGCAACAGCACAGATCCTTGTGTCACGCAAACAAAACTTTCAGCCCAGCCCTCAGGAAAGGCAGGCTCAGATACATGCACAAATCTGAGCAAGTCTGGTCTGAGGAACAGCTGTGGAAAGGTGGCCATATTTCTCCTGGGGTAGAAAAAGGGCTGAGGAGAGCCCTGCAGAGGGAATAAGCCTTCCTAGAGCTGGGCATAGGAGGCAGGGTAATTGCCTCACCCAAGGAGTAGGCACCCCAGCAAAGATCCCATGAAGGACTGTGTGCAGCACACACAGGCTGCCACATCTACAGGCATGAGGATGAGAGCTCAAGGTCTAAAGGAAAGCTTTATGGATCGAGAACAGCAGCTTCACTGTTATTTCATGGCATAGCCTGAAGGCAGGAGAAAACAAATCTACAATCAAGAGAAAGCAGAACAAAGCTTGCTTTGCTAGATGTGTAGCAGGAAAGAAAAAAGCTAGGAAAAAAATGAAGCTCTGGGAAACATGACACATAAAAGTGAGATTTTCAGTGTCCAACTTGGTGCCCATAAGCATCTTCTACACATGGGAGCAGAAGGAGAGGAAAAGACCTGCCACCTGAGTCATGGACACATTCTAGTTTAGAGACAGACACTTCACAAGAACTCTATTGGCAATCTTGTCTTTGTCTCAAGCTAACTGCAGCAGTGGCTTAGTTCTTATACAGAAACATGCTGTATGCTGTCTTCTGATTGAACCTGCAGCAGAAGTAGAAGTGAATTTGTCAGAACAGGGAATAGTCATTTCTCTAACAAATTCCTATTCCCGGCTGAGAGTTACACAAAAAAACATCATTTTCTTTTTAAATTAAAGCTATTTCCCAAAGGAAAGCTAGTATTCTTTGTTCATTTAAATTCAACCTATACATAATTTATTTTACAGGCTTAGCATTTAAACCATTTAGAAATTATACAGCTGAACTAGGTACCCAAGAGTGTTTTTTCTACTATTGCCAGAATTGTTTTAAATTATTGCAAGCGTTAAAATACAATCCTAAAACTCCACTGGGATCTTCAGATAAAGTGACAGTGCAAATTTGAAATGAATAAAAGTATTCTTCAGTAGGAATAGTTACACAAAAAACAGCATACGAATTATACATTCTACTTGTGCTTCTGTTGTACATAAGTTACAAGCTAAATATATAAATAACACGGTGACATTAAGTATGTACAATAAGAAGTCCCAGCTAAATAATCTAATGATCTCTTCTAGCTTTCCAGCCAAGAAATACGTAATGAGAAGAAAAATAAACTTCAAATGGAATTGAAGTCTAGAGAACATAACCAAAGGCATGGTTTTCATTAGCTTGAATGCTCTCTGGTGCACTTTAGGTCTTCATTATTTGTTTATCCAGAAGGAATTGAGCTCAGAAGAAACCTGTGCTACCCCAACTCAGAAGAACAGTCTTCAAAGATAGCTGGCTACTGACAGCTGACGGTGAATGAAATCCCTGCTAGCTGCTCAATAAGGCTTTTACTAACTTTTAACATCTCCCTTAGAATGAGCACTAAAACAGAATTTCCCATGGTTTTGCTCTTTCCTGTATTTACTTACTATTATCACAGAGCATAGGAAATAAATTATAAACAGCGGCTTTGAAAAACATGCGGTGCAAACTGAGGTGGGGATACAAAGCACAGACTCATCTGAAGTGTAGCTAAAGCAGGTGGCCAGCACAGGCCTTCCATTCTAGTCATCTATCTTTACATCATCACAACTGTTCAAAATTTCCACCTCTGAGACTTGAAAGGCCTGGGGATAACTTTGGCTTACATACTTCAGAAGCGAGTTGATGGACATTTATGCACGAACTGCAGTGCAGCACTGGCTGTGGTTCATGGCTCAGGCAGACCTACAGGATTTGTGCATTCAGCTTTCCTCAACTTTCGAGTCCTTAGCTAGAAAAATGGCCTTCATTATACAGCAATGCTTTTGACTCCCTGGCAGCGGCAGGGAGGGAAGGAAGACAGCTGTCTGACTGAGACCCTGGTGTTAGAATCCCTTTACCGAGCCTGCAATTTTTTTTGTTATTTCTGTTTTGCAGGTTTGGCAGCTTAGCACTTCTGAGATTCCTGCCTGCACTGTCTAGGGAAAAAAGATGAGTGCTATGGCTGCGCTGAGGCCAGGCTCCAAAAATCATGGGTACACATGACAACACAGCATATGTGAGCTATCAGACAACCACCTGAGTCAGACATACGTACGTTGTGTTTAGTTTTTGTTTAAGAAAGCTATGAAATTTTAGTAGATAATACTCTCCTAGTGTCTCCTCTCTTGCTTTTGCTTGAGTTTTTATGCGACAGTGATTCTCTAGCTCTGGTTTGCTTCCACAACTTCAGCACAGGTGTAGAAAGTGGAGGAATTTATGCCAACACTCCACATACCTGCTAAAAATACTTTAAAATAACAGGTTCAGTTATAATGCCTTAAGTTAGCAGAGAGAAAGCCAGAAGATTTAAGTAAAAAAATAAATCAAAATCGGTCTACTGAAAACAAAATTTGTTCTTGTGAAGGATTTTGCATAATTCATATAAAAGCTATTGGAGATTTTTTTGTATGTTCACTACACAGAACTCAATTCCTAAACAAAAACATAGAACAGTTCAAGTTAGCAATTTTTTAGAGGGAGATGAAAATGAGAAATTGAAGTTTAACTGCGAAGAAACAATATAAAATATGTTTTCTCAGCATCCCTTTTCTGTTCAGATTAATCCAATCAAATAATCATCCAAATGATGCTGAAAACTTCACTGACAATGCAGTGCTTGATTGTGTGTGACATACTAAACTTTGTACCTTAATGACGACGCCAAAGGAGTTGCTGGTAATTTAAGGCCTATCTCCTCACTGAAGGGCATTTTGATAGTGCATATATAAACATTTGTTTTATTCAAATTGTAAGGTGCTGCTAAACTAGGAAACCAGAAGTGAGGCATCTTGAGAATTTGGTACTATCTTTCAATCCATGTCAGTGAACTATTTTCCCTTCTTTCCCCTGGTCCTGTTTTCTCCCAAAAGTTGAGAGGCAGAAAGAAGAGTATGAAAGGAGATGGCAGCCCTGTGCAGACATTCACATGCTAATTGGATTTAGGCTCATGTACAGAAAAATAAAGCAAGAAACATCTCCAATGATTGACCTTCACATCTCATCAAAGTAAGTTGTGGGGTTTTTTTCATTCAAACACCTCTCATACAATCTCAGTTTCAAAGGTCAGCTAAAATAAGTATTAAGCAAAGAGCTCGGATGGAAAATGTTCAGTTCTTCCTGACAGTGGTTCAGTTTGGCAAAATCACAGTAACCAAAATTAGGATCTAGAAATACTGGGTAACCTTACATGGTTGCTCATTACCTGAGATGCTTATTACAAGAGACACAAATAGATTCAAACACGTGCGGAGCTTTTTCATCACATGCAAGGTGACAGTGTTATTTAAGAGCACAGCTGCTAATCTCTACTCTCATTGGAAAAACAGCAGTTATCCTCACCTGTCTTTCACTAATCCACTTTACTCTTTAGTAATTAAGAAAATAGGCCAATTTCTGTGCTGCTGTAGCCAAGTAGAAAACGCATGTATTTTTCATCTTATGTGCAGTATGACAATTATTTGGCAAGCACTCCCCTAGAACATTATCTACACAGCTCATTCTGTAGACTGTTGTCAAAGAGGGCTGGTTAAGGATAAGAATCTATCAGCATGTCCCTGCTAGAGCTTCAAGCTATGTAAGAATGTCATAATTAGCAGCTGGAAAAGAGTTGGCAGCAATTTTGCATCCCCAGAACTCCTTCAGTGGATTCTGTATTAGGGAATTAAGAAGCCATCCAAGCGGCTAATAAAATGATCACGGATTTTTGGCCACTGCATATAGACAAAGGGTTTTGCTACAGCAAAGAAGCACAGAGAGCTTTCCTAAACTTTCTCCAAAATGTGTC